TGATTAAATGTGTAGGCTTATGAAAAGTCCTTTGAAGTCTGACAAACACATTTGAATCCTAATTGTCACTAGCTACAGGACCTTGGGCAAGTGACTTAAACTTTCTTAGTTTTTCTCATCTGTAAAAATGAGATAGTACCTACCTCATATACTTACTGGGTAGATTAAATGAGTTTGTTTTAAAGCTACTATCACAGCCCAGTACCATAGAAGAATTTCAGATGTAACTTTGTATGTTTTCCAGAACACCTTGCTTTATAACTGTGTGTCATTGTTAAGCATAAAGATTACATCAGTATACTTAACAAAAAATGTAGTCTTGAAAGATACTCTTAGCATGTATACTGACGATGAGCTTGAAAAGTTCACAGTGGCATTCACAGTTGACTGAGGGCAAAGGTCCTGCCAAACTCTGTAAGGGGACAGTATGTAAATAAGAAAGGAAAAACTAAATTGGCTGAGTGCCGTGGCTCACACCTGTAATCCCAACACTTTGAAAGGATGAAATGGGGGGATCACTTGAGCCCAGGAGTTCAAGACCAGCCAGGGCAACATAGTGAGACCCTGTCTGCACTTGTAGCCCCAGCTACTCTGGAGACTGAAGTGGGAGGATCACTTGAACCCAGGAGTTTGAGGCTGCATTGAGCTATGATTTTGACCCTGCACTCCAGCCTGGGCAACAAAGCAAGACCCTGTCTCTAAAACAGATTGAAAATAATTTTTAAAAAGTTTTTAAAGAAAACTAAATTGAAGATTCCTTTTTATAATTAAAGTTTTGACAAGATAATTCTATACTTTAGGAATGTCGCAAGTGATATTGATAAGTTTTCATCTAAGCCAACAGCAAACGACCACTTTGCCAACTAATAGATAGGACTCCCTTTCTCCATGGGATGTTGGTGACCTTAACAAGCTAAGCATCATACCCAGTGTGTGCAACATGGTGATTATTAAATGTCTATTGGCATCAGCCTAGCATTGGAGTCTGTGTATTGTTAGATATAAACTCTTTGTCAGTCACCTTTATTTTCGTCTTTTATCTTTCAGTTAAAAGACTTAGGTTAAAAGTCTGCTTTTAGGAGCACTACTATGGAGTTTCATCTTTTATAGGAGAGCTTCACATTGTCCTTTGATAATTTCCTCCTGTTAACTAATTTATGATATAATATACTTTACAAAGTAATAGTCTTAATGTTACAGGCTTTTAATTAGTTTTAGTAGTTTGGATACTATGAAATAAATCAGGTATACTGAACTAAGTAATGATGATACAAATTTCAAAAATCAGTACTACATAGAGTTCAGTAATACTACAGTCAACATTTTGTAGCTACCTGAAATCACCAATATACTGCAGAAGCTTTTTCCTCCCAGAAAAAGAAAATATTACATGATTTCTTCTCTTTTCATATCATCAAGATTGCTTCAAGAAAATTATAGTTATTTAATATTTTTAGAATACATATAATCTAATATTTTGTTAGTGTAATATTTAGTGTGGTATATTTACTTATAGAGGACTATCTTCATTTTAGTTATACCTAGAAGAAAGAAGTAATATTTTGTATAAACAATGACACTTTCATTGTTGCAGATTGGATCAGATGTTTTCAGATGCCTTTAGTAAAGATCACCAGCTGCTTCGGGCGGACCCCAAACACAGTCTTTACCTTGCCTGTGCGCTCATGGTTAGAGGAAATGTACAAATTTCAGATGTTCGTAGAAATATTGAAAGGTTTGGTTTCTATTTTTAAAGATAATTTGTATGTGCTGCTTGGGACAGTGTGGCATAGTAGTTAGTTAACAGCCGCCCTTCAAATTCTAACAATGCCACTTACTAAAGTGTGACCTTGAACAAACTACTTAGTCTCTTTGTGCCTTGTTTTCTTCAAGTGTAAAATAAGGATAATAATAGTACATAGTTTTTATTTAGGAGTATTAAATGATATATGACATGTTTTATGAAAGTGTTCAGAAAATCATAGCTATACTATTTTTATTACCAGTACCACCAGTACTACTACTACTACTACTACTTCTGATTTTTGTGTTACTGTTTCATTCTATTTATAAGAAAACTAGTCTGTTGAATTACAAAGTAAGGAAAATGATAGTACCTTCATTTGTTTATATCCCTAGATTTCTCCTCTTGAGGAATGAGTTTCTAGCTTCTTGAATCACCATCACAGCCAATTTAATGTTCCCTTACAAAATGTCTCTTAGTTCACTGTCAGACTGTACCATGTTATTGCCAATGGTAAAAAATAGATAACTTAGCATATAAACTAAGCAATTAGAATGATACCATCCATAATGTTCTGGCTTAACTAATATGAGCACTGCCATAATATGGCAGACATTTTTAGTAACTTAGTTCTTACCTTTGAGATTTTTTTTTTTAAATCTCAGACTAAAACCATCTCTACAATTTGTCTCCTGGAATCAAGAAGGCTGGAAGACCAGCCTGTGTTCCGTACCTCCTGTGGGCCATTCTCATTCTTTATTAGCTTTAGCAAATAACACATGTGTGAAGCCCACCTTCATGGAACTGAAGGAGAGATTCATGAGGCTCTACAAGAAAAAGGTAATTATTGTACAGCTTTGTAACTGTATGTGTTTATTTTGGCTATTTAAGATGTATTCTTAAAAATTACGCTATTACAAATCAGAGGTGATCTTTTCTATATGTGTTGTACTGATTATAACTGAAGAGGAGAGGCTTGCTCATACTACTTTTACTCTAAATGAGAACATTCATGAGTTTATGGGATTCATTCAATTTGACACAAGTTCTCTTTCAAGTGTAGAGCTGAACTCTAATTTTAATAAGGAATGTTTACCTTTTAGGATAGTCATATGTATTAAAGTTCCTGAAATGGTAAACGTTACCTAATTTTTTAATTTATAGGCTCACCTTCATCACTATCTACAAGTTGAAGGGATGGAAGAAAGCTGTTTCACAGAAGCTGTGTCATCTTTATCAGCACTCATACAGGAATATAACCAACTGGATGCCACAAAAAACATGCCTGTGCAAGATTTACCCAGACTAAGCATAGCTATGTAAAAAAGAAACCCTCAAAAATACTTTCTTAATTTCACATTGTTTTTTCTGACCTTTCTGTTTCAACATTTTTGTAATTTGGAAACCAGTTTTTTCATATTAGGAAATATTTTTGTCTAAAAGAGTGATTTCTGTTTAATCACAATTTGTTGGTAATACCAGTGTGTGAAATTAATGAAATCTTAGTACCTTCACTTCAAACATTTCTCTTCAGAAAAGTTCCCTTTTCTAAAATTGGGAGAACAGAGTTCTTGAATATTTTGCTGTATTTATAGCCTCATATTTAGGCATTTATGCACTGTTAATCGTATCTTCAATTAAAATCTTGTATAGATATATTTTTATAATTATTTATAATTTATATTTTGATATTCTATTTAAGTTATCCTGATTCTTTAAACGTAGTTCCTGGGAGTAGAAGAACACAGTATAAATATTTCCATGTAATAGCCACTAAATTTTCAGGCATAGGTTTTATTACAACTATTAAGGAGGTTTTGCTGCTTCTTTAGATAACAATTTGTTTGCTCAAAAGAATCCTAATTTGTACACTTAACATGTATTTGTATTAAATTTTTTAAATAATTGCTTTCTTATCAAACCAATTGATTTTATAATAAATGTCCATATTTTTCAACAGTACTACTTGTTATTGTTCTGCATGTCATTTATACAAATGAACAGAATGTTACTAAGCTTGATATCTTCCAAACTTTGCAATAAATGGCTGTAATTGTTCCAGTTACTATAATCTTCAGTTCTAGCCTTAACATTAATTTATTTTTAATAGCAATTTATATTTCAGATCCACAGGTTAATTTTAAGTTTTATTATTTATATTTCTTTCCTTTGCAATGTAATGATACGGTTCTTGGTTTTTGTCTTGGAAATTTAATTTTTTATAATATTCAATATAAAAAATTTTAGATTGCAGTTGTTAACAGTGGCCAGAAAAGTTGCATTTTCTCCTCTCCAAAAGAAACTGATGTTAAAGATCAGGCAATGAAAAGTCTAAATATATTTACAGCTTAATCTTATTACTGTTCAAGAATTAATCTAGAATTTCACTTGCTCTATAATGATTTACCAACTAATGGGCACCCAGGCTACATTGTCAAATATAGATTAAATTATTTAAATTTAGTATGCTTTTTTCCCCCCCAAAGGAGTCTCGCTCCTCTGTGCCAGTGCAGTGGTGCAATCTCAGCTCACTGCAACCTCCACCACCTGGGTTCAAGCAATTCTTCTGCCTCAGCCTCCCCAGTAGTTGGGATTAGAGGCACATGCCACCACACTCAGCTAATTTTTGAATTTTTACATTACAGACAGGGTTTTACCTTGTTGACCAGGCTGGTCTCAAACTCCTGACCTCAAATGATCTGTCCACCTCGGCCTCCTGAAGTGCTGGGATTACAGGCATGAGCCACTGTGCCCAGAGTAAAATTTAGTATGCTTTTTATACATCTTTAGCAAGTATTCCAGATTATTTTGTAAAATATTTTATTGTAAATTGCATATTTTTTCATATACAAAATGCTTAGATGGTATCAAATGTCTGCATATTATATAATTATAGGATATATTTTAGAAATGAGTTCAATTTTTAACTTTTTCAAATTTTATGTATATTTTTAGGATATCTTTTTTTAAAAGCTTCTAATGCCTTAAATGTAGTGATCTAAGAACAGGCATTCATACTGTTTTAAACAAAGCAGATTTGCCACCATTTTATACTCACTAATTTTTTTATTATATGACAGGGTTGACTAACTTTTCCCCCATTTGCTTTGTTTTACAGAATCTTGAGCTCAGAAAATATATCTCCGGGTTCTCTGCAGTTTCTCTGACATACACAAGATGTAATCCACAGCATCTTCCATTTAAATGACCCCTCATTTGGGCAATCGAATTGAATAGTAATCATTTTAGACTTATTAGGGATACAGCATCTCTTATCCAAGCATATTCCACAAAAAGTGGGTTTGTAACTCTGAGTACTTGAGCATCCAGAAAAGACAAATTTTTCAGCTTTGGAGAGTTGGAAAGTAGGTTGGCATGTTTTTCCTTTGGGGATCTGAAAAGATACATAAAATGAAGTCATTCTTTAAATTTGATTACAATAGTTTAGAAAAACAACATGTCGAATATTTTATAGTACAAACAATTATTTGGAGGCATTAATAAAAGTTGTTATGTAGTGATTTCCAGCACTCTCTTCTCTACCCTTAAGATCCCCTTCTCATCAGAGGTCTGTCCTAACTGTCCTCTCTATTCTTCCTCCATCATATTATAGCACCTATTCCTCAATGTTTTTTGCTATCTGTTCTTTACTCAATTTTACAGTAAATAGAAATTTCTGTTTTGTTTAATATCAAGGGCCATGTCTTATTAAATATTTATCTAAGACTTAGCAAAGTCCATAACACAGCCCAGACAGTTTTCAGTGGATGGGTAGATGAATACTTACCCTAATCTTTCTTTAAAACTGAATTGTCAGCTGGACACGGTGGCTCACGCCTGGAATCCCAGCACTTTGGGAGGCCGAGGCAGGCAGATCACGAGGTCAGGAGATTGATACCATCCTGGCTAACACGGTGAAACCCCGTCTCTACTAAAAATACAAAAAATTAGCCGGGCAAGGTGGCAGGTGCCTGTAGTCCCAGCTACTCGGGAGGCTGAGGCAGGAGAATAGCATGAACCCAGGAGACGCAGCTTACAGTGAGCTGAGATCACACCACTGCACTCCAGCCTGGGCAACAGAGCAAGACTCCATCTCACAAAAAAAATAAAAAACAAAAATTAAAAAACGGAGTTGTCAACTTGCTAATATGATAGAGAATAACTTTGGGGTGAGAGAATTGTGTAGCATTTCTAAAAATTACCCTTTTTGAGACAGACTTCCTGCCTCGTTCAAGAAGTAAGACCAGCTCTAGTTATACCAAACAATCTTAGGGTAAATATTTTATTGTAGTGTTTTAGCAAGTTTACTATGTAAGCATAGAGCATTTTGGAAATGGTGCGGCTTCCTTCCAAGTTAGTGATATATAACTAAGATCAGACTTCTCTAATGTTCATAATATCTGTTTTCATAATTATAGTGTAGCAACCAAAATCTTTTATTCATTAACATAGAAAAAACAAGTTAGAATCTGCTCTGGTTGGTAAAATTTTCCCCACAACGTGCAGTTATTACCTGTTTTCCTCTGAAATAGTTTGACTTTAAGCATTATAATGAGATGGTTTTGTTTTTCTAAGAACTAAACACCATCCCTCCCTCCAAAACACACACATGCTTACTTTTCAGGAATCTCTTAATATTGAATTAAGTTAAATATATTTAAACTTTACCTTTATTGTCTGTAATATATTGCTGTCACAAGGCTGAATGTAACACAGTCTTTTCTCTTTTCTCATTTCACAGTTGCTGTTTTCATTGGTCACCCTATTAGATATTCCCATCCCACATGTTCTGGAGCAGGGAGTCCACTTTGTTGCTTGCACAAGACATTTTTTTTTCCAAATAAGTGGGAGATTTCTATAAGCTAAAATGGAGAAAAGTACATATGTATACATATAAATGTACTTGTATAAATGGATAATTTTTAATCATGTTTAAGCTAATGTTTAAGAAATCTGAATATTTTTGTATAATATAACTCAGAATAAAAGAAGCTGATGGTCTAATTTATCATTCTATCTCCCTCTTTCCCAACCCCAGAATTAACTTTCAATCAAGTATTACAGTCCAACCTCTTAGGAGGAATAAAAATACTTTATCTTTGAAAAACTGAGAAGATTTACTCATTTGCATTTTTCTGCTTTGCCTGTCCTCTGAATCCTAAGCCTAAGCTTATGTTTCTGTTGAGTTGTCTTTTTCCTGGTTCTTGCCTGATCATTTCTAACAGACGTTGAAACAAAAATTAGAGAATTTGAGATACTGATCAGAACAGTGTGATCTTAATGTTAACTTTCATAATATGTTAAAATCTAAAATACAAAAATTATATTTGAGAATGAGACTATCAGCAAGACCAGATTTCTTCCATTTGTTTTAATCTAGTCTTTTAGAAAACTGTCTAATTAACTAATGCTATACTGAACTAAACTAATAGTTTATATACAAAGTCATTGCAAGTGTATAATTTCATTCATTCAACTTAATTGTCACACTCCCTATATTCTTAGGCCCAAAGCACTCTCCAATTGGGTAGGATTTCAAATTACTTATGAAAAAACAGAGAATGGATGGATCAATAGATGGGTCAGTGAGTGAGTAGATAGAGCCCCTCCAATGTCTGCTGCTAAAGGGAAATAGAAGGGGAAGAGAGAATATAAAAGGGTATAATAATGCTCCCATTTCCATGTAAGGTCACTGGGAGCTTCTTGTTATAAATGAATCAAGCCCTTGGCTCATTTTAAGCAAACTACATATTGACTTACTGTCTCAAGGCATTTCCTTAAGGTTAATGTGCATCTTGAAATGAATGCTTTGGGAGTATGGTTGTGATTTGAGTCTGCACAGCAAAATTCTGGCTATATTACTTCAAAAAAATCAATTTAAAACTTGAAAAAGACCCAGGGGGAAAAAAAAAAAAAGGCCTTCTTCATAGGAAATAGTCTCTTTAAAGTATGTGCTCTATTTTAATTGATACTATGACACTGTTTTCAGTGTTATTACAGTAAAGTCTCTTGCAATTGCACGTAGAACTGAGGAGAGGAAGCAGAAATGTGAAGATACCTGGAAGGTAGACAACAGTTTAAAGACCTCTGAAATAGTTTGCAGGAAGCAGATTAGAAGCTTGGCACACATCTGCAATAAATAAACGCAGGTTAGATTACCGTGTTACCAGTAATCCTACTTGTTAAACCAAGAGCTGTAGTTCAGGAATTTACCATTCATTAAAAAGCAAGAAAACTAGAAGAGATTTTTTTTAAACAAAGCTTAGTGTTTGGTGAGCATTGAAAAAAGCATGAGGGCATTATGTCATTGCATGCTTCATACTGACCTAGCAAAAGCTAGATTCCAACCATAGACTATAAATTACTGTCACAAATGTATCTTAAAGTATGTGTTTTTGTCATTATGGTTCATTTTAAAAGCCAAATTCCTGTGTGGGCCATAAATATAATTTCACAGTTAAGCAAAGAAGAGACATTAGACTGAACATTTGAAACACATCTAGCTCTAAATCGCAAATACTAGAGAACACTCAAAGCGCTAACTACCAAGACTATCTGATGCCTTTCCCAACCAAGGTCAAAGTGAATCCACTGAACTGCTCTAACTTCTAAAATGAGACCAACTTGAACTTGATCCAAAGGTCTTCACTCGTGGAAAACTGCTCTAAGGTAGTCTTTCCAGGGAAGTTTATGCATGGGTTCTAAGAGCCTTACATTGAATCACTAAAATCCAACACAGAAAACTAACTGTTCTGTACATTTTGAAAAAAAATAATAAGGATAGGGCTTATAATTTCAGAGGTTTTAGACCATTAACAGTGTCATGCTGTCAACTGAACATGTCTAGTAAATGCAAATTCACCACAACCTGGTAAATTTTTTTTCTAATTAACTGACAAAACTGGAGTTGCTGAGGATGTTCCTTTTATAGAGTTAGTTTTTAAATATCTAAAACTCATTTCCCTGCTTGTGGTTGCCTTTATTAAATATCCACTTAATAAAAATGAACTTATGAGTTGTTAACATATACAAGTATTCTGCATTTGCATGGCACCTCTCACTAAGCTCTAAACTTTAAGAAAAAGCCATTCTTGATTTCTGGTTGAGAACACAGAGATGTGAACAAGAACCAGACTTCGATGTTACCCCTTCTGAGCCCTTCCTCTTCTGTACTTTATTTGCTGGTGGTTTTAAAACTCCTGTTCCCAAAATATGCTGATGCTTAAATAAAATGCTAACTTAGAGCAGACCAGGATACAAGGTTTATGAATATACTTAAGCTGTTTGCAAATGGTCAGGTATACAAGATGAGTAATGAAGAATCACACTTCAGTTTTCTAGTACATAGATACATGGGTAACCTACTTAAAAATGCCTGTGTGTGTGTGTGTGTGTGTGTGTGTGTGTGTTTACAGAGAGATTAGCAATTGAACTTCAATTTCAGAGTGAATGAACGGACTTCCTATGAGATTTCTATTTTTAGAAATAATATTTACAAGTTCAAAATATGTGTCAGTTTTTATTTTTCAGCAGTAGCCTCTCATTTCTGCCTGTATCACATAGAAATGTTGCCTTTTAAAATTTGGGGAAGTGGATGGTCAAACTTCTTGCCCATAATAGAACAATACAAATAAGTTATTCCAGGGTACATGTGAACAATATTTGGTCAATTTTCCTGAGAAGAGTTTGGGAATAAGCAGAGGTGTAAGATTTTAGAAGAGCTTCCTGACCTAGTAGATCTTTTAAAAATGTTTTTAAATGTTTTACCAGAAAATTCCAAAACATTATAACATTTCCTTTTCAAAAGTTTATCCCAGTCTGAGGCAAAGATTGAGTAAAATGGTACACTCAAACTATATCTCACTCTGACCACCAATCAGTAAGTACTTACTGAGTACCTATGGTACATAAAAGGAACATGAAGGAATACCACCAAGGTCATACATGAAAAATAACTCTACTTATGAGCACCTGGCATTGTTTTGTAGCTTGCTGAAAGCTGCTGTAGTAATGGTTCCAGGCCACAGTTTGATTGATCAGACTTCTTTCCACCTTTAGCTCCAGAGCAGTGACTGTCAGCCAGCTTTGGTATGAACAGAGGCGTGCATCCAATGGCCCCACTCACACAGAGGCAGCTAAACAAGGGGTTGGGCTGAAACACTTGGCCATTGTGATAATGTACCTGGTTGAACTCGCATCCAACAGCTACAAGGTCTGAAAAGAGAAAAGAGCAAAATTGCCAAAGAAGCCATAACCTGTGACAGTGTAGACCTCCAATTATAAACCTAAGAAGAAATGGATTATCTCCTGTATGAAGTATAGCTCTCAACCTCTTAGGTTCCATTTGGAACCTCCTTCATGGGACATCTGTAGAACGGTTTCTAAAGTGAGGCATTTTCATTATGTTGTAGGCTATACACCCCACATGGTCACTTCCAGAATTAAGACCAAGTAAACATCCTGTAAAATCACCATAAGAATAGCAGTTGATAATAAATCTGAGATAGGTTGATGCCTAGTGAGATAGGTTTTCCCAGACATCCAACAATAGGCTAGGATATATTCTTAGGAAGACAGGATAAGTGAATGTCTGAAGAAACTATAGTTAACTACAGAACTGCAAGGTACTGATGGTTTTTGTTAAGAGATTGTAGGAGAGTTTCACTTCCTCTGAGGGGTATTCTTGACCTTCTGGCTAGGCTCTTCCCCAAGTGCGGTCCTCTAATCCCTTGGCAGTACCTGAGACACTTTTAGGGGATCTGCAAGGTCAAAACTCTTTTCCAAATACTAAGATGTGGCTGGCCTTTTTCACTGTGTTGGTATTTGCACTGGTGTACAAAAGCAACTGTGGCTAAAACTGAACTGCTGGTGCCTTGGCATGAATCAAACTGTAGAAGTAATCTTGTATTTTTCCTTGCCAGGTACTTATACTTTAAAAGGCGGGGGAGTTTTACCTAAGAATGTCCTTGATGGCACAGTAAAAAGTATTAATTTTATTAAATCTTAATCATCAAGCACGGGTCTCTTCAATATTCTATGTAACAAAATAGGAAATATACATAGAATATTCCAGTGCAATAGCTGTCTTGAAACTTCAGCAAATGACTGTCTCAGGGAAACTTAAGGAACCATGTCATTGGTAAAGTTGTGAGCTGAGCTAACCACTTTTTTTAGTGGGAATTTTACTTGAAGAAATGACTGATGATTAACTGGTTATTCAGACTTGCGTATTTTGGAAACCTTTTTTTTTGAAAATGAGCAAACTGAGCCTGTCACTTCAAGGAAAACAACTGTGACAGCATTTTTTGTCAATGCAAGAATTCGAGATTTCAAGGAAAAATTCAAATTTTGGAAAACTTGTATCCATCACTGAAATCTTTATATTTATCCAATATGTAGACTTTCCCAGTGAGGATGACATTAATGTGATTTTTTTAGATGTTACATAATTAAGTGTATCAATATTTTGAACATCTCTACAACACAGTAAACATATTTTCCAAATGAACAATGCATAGAATGGCAAAATTATGCATGAGTAAAAGATCTATTCCAAATGGGTCTTGGATAGACCAATGCATTTTAATGTCACAGAGTTGAAAGTTCATTGATGTGGTTTCAGAGTCCATGATGCAGCTACTTTTTAAGACACTATCACTTGTCAAGTTTTAACATATCAATAAACATACAAGTATATTCACAATTATCTGAAAAGCCTGTTAAAATATTCCTGCCTTTTCAAATTACATATCTGTGTGATGCCAGATTTTCTTCACATATTTCAACCAGAAAAACACACAGTAACAGATTGAAAGAAGCAGCAGATGTGTGACTCTAGCTGTCTTCTATCGAGCTAGACACTAGAGAGATTTTCAAAACATGTAAAACCATGACACTCTTTTACTAAATTTTTCTTTGGAAAATAAGTTATATGTTTCTTCATAAAAACATTATTCTTATTAATCTGCAATGGGTTTATTCTTTTTAAATGAATTAATAAATATTTCT